CTCGAAATAAGCCATGGTATTCACCTTTTCCGCTGCATTATCTACTACATTTTTTGGTCAGTTTAACACGTGACTAATTCGTCCAAAATGCAAAAAATTTGCTTCTATTCTTCTAAATTTACCTTTTGTCATCGGAGGTAAATGTGGATAGTTTTCATTAAACATTCTGTAAGTTCCACTAAGAACTTTGTCACACTTTCCGTGCATAAAACATAAATTAAGGATTTCTTCGTTTGTATAAACATTATTTACGTTATTAATATCCATTTTAACTGGAGTTAGATTCACAAGCATCATACAATGTAAATCAGACATTGACCTTTGTCAATGTCATTAAACATTTGTTTTCCATGGCACACTAGGTTAATATCGATATGAAATGTGAGCATTTTTCAAAAAACCCTAATTATTTCCAAAACTATTAATGTTAGGCATAAGACATGTGGAGTATAAAAGATGTAAAATGAGACGCTGAAGACGACTAAGTAATAAAATATAGGGGGTGCCATTTAAGAAAATGAAGTTATGGTACTTCAAAATGTCGAAAAGTTAACGTGCCACGGTAAGGTGACCAAACGATCTAGACAGCCGTTCTCGGCACCAAAACATACTCCATCATGTTACTTAAGCATGTTCTGAATCCTAAATTGATATCTCAATAATCGAGTGTTCTCTGATTTTTTGAACAAATGTCTTCTGGAGCAGATTTTTCTAGAAAAATTCGAATAACTCGAGAACGGCTGAATCAAATTGCAAAAAATAAAGTTATTCATAAGCCTTGAGAACAGACAAATCGAAATATGTAAAAATATACAGGGTGTTCCATTTAAAAAAATAAAGTAGCTGGCGACTTCCGGTATAACCGGAAGTGCTAGAATTCTAAAAATATTTTAGTGGAATGGAACGCAATTGATAATACTTAAATCTGAATTCTCAAATTTTTATTTTGGCCAGAACCCCAGAAACGTCTAATGACCGGTCTCGCTGAGACACCCTGTATACATAGAGGCATACAATTCACAACTCGATCCTAATAAACTCAATAAGGAAATTAATGTTATTACACAAATAGCCAGTAATAACGAATTTAAAGTAGACACAATACAAAAGTTAATCAACAAAAATAACCAAATAAGTATACTAGATAATAATGGCATTTACAAGATAGACTGCGACACTTGTGGTGCAACATACAGGCTGTCCCGAAACTCAACGTCAAGCGGGCACCGGGTGAGAGGCCAACCCATACCTGTTTTGGTGAAAATAAGAAAAAAATTCTATGTCTCTTAGTTAAGTGGTAATAGACATATTTTCGAAAATGTTAAATGTCGTTCCCGTACGCCATATCTTTAGGTATTACGGTCAGAAATGTTCACAATTTAATAGTGATTTTTTTAATAATGTATTCCTTATGAATCATGCTACTATAGCAGTTACAAATCAAACAACAAAAGTCGTTAGTTTTGCAAAAAAATGTATTAGTTTGATTGAGTTAAGGTTGAAAGAATTTATGTCTATTTAGTTTGACACACGATTTCTAAACAAAGGAGTAGTATAACACCCTTGGCAAGTCATTTTAAAAGATGGCCTGTTTAGTCAAGATTCTAAAATGGTATAACACTTGCCATTTTTCTTTTCCTAAAAAATATTATGGCCTCTTTTTTTGCAAAAAACGCGTTATTTAAAAAATTCGTAGTTTCGTATGTTATTTGTATTTCCTCCAAAATAATTTAATAACTTTGTTAGAAGATGTGCCACTCAATATCTACAGAGAAATATGGTTTCAACAAGATGGTTGCCCAGCTCATTATGCTTGTCCTGTACGGGATTGCATACAGAATAGCCAGAAAGATGGATTGGGCGTCTTGGTTCGATTACGTGGCCTCCTCATTCTCTGGGCCTAAATTCCCTTGATTTTTTGATTAGGATTGCATAAAAGAAACAGTGTATTAAAAGCCGATTGAAAATCTTGCCGAACTGGGCCACAATATTTATACAGCAGCAGAAGAAATAAATGCAAAGAGATTTGCTCAACTACTAAAAAGATCTTTTCTGCGACGATGCAGAACTTGTATTAGTGCAGACGGCAAACAATTTGAGCATTTGCTTTAGTTTTAGGAAAATAATGCTATGAAATTAATAATAAATAAATTAATAATTTCTTTTGTTTGTTTAATTTTGTCTTTAGGTTAATATTATTTGAAACAGTCCTTTTGCAAGACATAAGGGCAACCATCTTGTTGAAACCACATTTTGTAGTCCGTAGATATTGAGTGGCACATCTTCTAACAAAGTTAAGAGGAAATAAAGAGTAAATACAAATAGCATCCGAAAGTATGAATTTTTTAAATAACGTGTTTTTTGCAGAATAACAGGCAATATTATTTTTTATGGAAAGAAAAATGGTAAATGTTATACCATTTTGGAAACTTGACTAAACAGGCCATCTTTTAAAATAACTTGCCAAGGGTTGTTATACTACTCCTTTGTTTAGAAATCGTGTGTCAAACTAAATAGACATAAATTCTTTCAACCTTAACTCAATCAAACTAATACATTTTTTTGCAAAACTAACGACTTTTGTTGTTTGATTTGTGACTGGTATAGTAGCATGGTTCATAAGGAATACATTATAAAAAAAATCACAATTAAATGGCGAACATTTCTGACCGTAATACCTAAAGATATGACGTACGGGAACGATTTTTAACATTTTCGAAAATATGTCTATTACCATTTAACTAAGAGACATAGAATTTTTTTCTTATTTTTACCAAAACAGGTATGGGTTGGCCTCTCACCCGGTGCCCGCTTGACGTTGAGTTACGGGACATCCTGTATATAGGGGAAACAGGGAGAAGCTTAAGAACAAGGATTCACGAACATATAACTAGACCTAACTCAGTTTTTAATAAACATCTAAACTATAGTAACCATCAGTTCGACATCAACAAAAATACTAAATTGCTACATGGAATGAATAAAAGCTATAAAATGGAGATAGCAGAAATGTACGAAATTCAGAAATTCATACAGAATAACCCTAACAAACTCATTCTAAATGAACAAACGACTCCAATTTTTCCACACCTATATGAAACTTTAAAAAATCCGTTTAGACCCTACCGATAATCTCTCCCGAAGCTTACCTTACTGTACCGTTTTTGTTTTTCCAATTTGTCCTATATAAATTATCCGTTTCTTGTTTTTAATTTTTAATTTTGATCTAACGTGTATACAATGTGTTTACAATGTTACAGATTTCTGTATAGACTTTGATTTTTTAACTTGTTTCTGACAAACACCTTGTTATTGTCGAATTTGTTGTGTGTTTTAACTGTGATTTCGTATTTTCTGTGACGTTTATTATACAAGATATTTTAATCTACTGACATATGCAAATTTTATCAAGATTTTATCAATTACCATTCAATTATTTTCAATACTGACACAACCTCCACTCTGTTAATTTTATTATAATATTTAAGGTGATATCTTCTGAGGATGGCTCTTTAATGTGAGCCGAAACCGGTAAAGATCGAATAAATAATATTATCACTAAGTACAATTGTTTCTATTTATTTAAATATTAATAAATAAGTGATAAAAATGGATAACATTTACTCATATTTTAAGAAAATACTTAATATCTTTTAAAATATTTTTGCAAAACCTTATAAATTCTCTGAAATTCATTTGGAAACCTTGGATATGTTTATACATCTAAAACTCTAGAAATCCTTGTAAATTCCCTGAAAATCCTTTGGAAACCTAGGATGAGTTTACAAATTTCAAAATAACCATGGTCTTTGGTGGAAATCCTTGAAATGAAGATGTCTTAATTTCTTGAAATTGTTTAAAACTTCTGGTTGTTTTTGAAAATTCGCGAATATCTTTAGAAATTCTCTAAATATGTTTGGAAATATTTAGAAAAACACCTAAAATTCTGGATATCTATAGAAATTTCTTTAAAATCCTAGACATTGCTAAAAACTCTAAGAAATTACCTTAATATCTTTTAAAATATCTTGCAAAACCTTATAAATTTTCTGAAATTCATTTGGAAACCTTGGATATGCTTAGAAATTCCAAAATAACCCAAGTATTCCAGTAATGTCCTTTAAAATGTTTCTTAATTGCTAAAAATTGTTAGACGTTGTTGGAAATCCGTGAATATTCGCGAAAATGACATTATCATGTTCAGAAATCCTTGGAAAATGTTTGGTATTTCTAGTTGTGCTATGAAATCTTTAAAAGTTTTTTAGAAAATGGTTGGATCTTATTATACATATCTGTACCTCAGCGGTAAAGGATTGTATCTCCATTATTTTAGGTTTTTTATAAAACAAGGTTTAATTAAAGTTTTATAATACTATTATAATAAGTTTTATAATAATTAACTCGATATTGACAAAAACTGGAGTTACGATCCTTTACCCCTAAGGTACAGATATAAAACTCTAGAAATCCTTGTAAATTCCCTGAAAATCCTTTGGAAACCTAGGATAAGTTTAGAAATTTCAAGATAACCGTGGTCTTTGGGGGAAATCCTTGAAATTAAGAAGTCTTAATTTCTTGAAACTGTTTAAAATATCTGGTTGTTTTTGAAAATTCGCGAATATCTTTAGAAATTCTCTAAATATTAAACTAAAACTAGAACTAACACTAGACCTAGAAACTGTCGGGTTAAGCTGTGCGTCTTTTGAAAAAATGTTTGAGGGATGCCATGTTGCAATCTTCTTCAGATACAAGTTCGAAGTGACGAAATCGGTAAATATTTGATAATTGTCAACTAAGTTGTTTTTGTCAAATCCGGGTGGAGAAGATTTCGTTGAGTTCATCTTCTATGTGCAGCTGAGTTCCCAACCGTCTTCTCTATTCATGTTATTCCCATGTCGCTGAATCTCTATCGGCTCTCTCGTAAATCTTTGGAAGTAATGTCCGTTTCTCGCTAGCACTTTGGTTTTGTCAAACTCTATGGTGTGTCCTCATCCGTGGCAATGCTCTGCGACTGCAGACTATTGGACTTTTCTCAGTCGGACATCCGTCTCGTGTTCTTTGATACGGGATTCGATGTTACGTCAAGTTTGGCTCACGTAATATTTCCCGCAACTGCACCCGTCTTTGGCTATCGGAAGAGCGTTTTGTATTTTGCTGACCATACCGTATCGTACCACGATATCATTCTTCTTCAGACACCTCGCAATTCGCTCCGTCACACCTGAAACATAAGGAAGGCAGATAAAACCAGCAGGTGTTGTACTTACCGAGTCATCCTTCTGTTTGCGTGGTTTGGTGGCTCGTTGGATATCCCTCATCGTATAGCCGTTCTTCTACAGTACATCTCCTAGGAATCTGTCTTCTTTCGTCAGGTTCTCTCTATCACATATTCTCTCTGCTCACTTGAATAAGGCTTGAATCACAGACCTCTTCTGTTGTGGGTGGTGGTTGGATGAAGCCTACAGGTACCTATATCGTATGCGTCTTCTTTCGATATACTCCCAGTTCCATGCCCCCATCTTTCTTTTTAGTGACCAACAAATTCAGGAATGGTAACTGTTTTGCAGTTTCTGTTTCTGATATACTCCCAGTTCCATGCCCCCATCTGTCTTCCTAGTGATCAAATCATCCAGGAATGGTAACTGTTTTGCAGTTTCTGTTTCAATGGTAAATTTTATCAAGGGACGCTTGAGGTAGTCTAAAAATTCCTGAAATTGCTCTTTTCCATGTTGCCAGATCACGAAAATGTCATCGACGTAATGGAACTATAGCTTCGGTTTCCACGGACTCTTCTTTAACACTTTCTCTTCAAACATCTCCATGTAAAAATTGGCGATCACAGGTGACAGCGGTGATTCCATGGCTGCCTCTTCTCATTGCTCGTAGAACTCTCCCTTCCAGCTAAAATATGTCGACGATACTTTGTCCATTAGTTCTGGGACATACTTTGGCAAACTCCCCGGGGTAAGTTTCTGAAGACCATCCACGGGATCTTTGACTGATGCTCTGGTGAACAAAGATATCACGTAGAATCTTACCAGGATATCCTGAGAGTCTAGCTTCATACTCCTGATTGATTTGACTGACTGTTTTACCTGTAAAACGAGACAGAATCTTGGCAAGGTGTTTTGCTACCTAAATTTATGGCACTGACAATAGGATGCCATAAATTTGTAGTGAGACCTCTGATTTATGCATTTTAGGTAATCCATATATCCTTGGGGGTGTATCCTCTGTTTTTATCTTCTTATAAGTGGCTGGGTCCACAAGACTCGTGATCTTGTCGTCGTATTCATCACGAAGTATATAAATCAAGATCAAATAAATACAAAATCCATCACAGTCCTGACTTTCTCCATAATCCATAATGTAGGTACTAGTTAATCAATCAATCAACAACTGGTTGCTTTTGTCAACGGCTTTTCTTACAAACTACTGAATACTTCGGATTGGATTAGTTCATGAGATTATGGAGCAATCCAATATACGATACCATTTGTTGTATGGTCCAGAATGGTGTGTGGTAAGCCAGAAGGAACACGACCGAATAATCGAACGTAATTTAAAGATTTCGTCAGTAAATCAGCCAAGTTCTTATTTTACGTTGACGATTCAGTATTTCTTCACATTTTGCGAGGAATGATTCCCAACATTATTATTCATTAACAAAATAAGCATTAATTATTTTATTGATTGATAGTTTCTTCTGTAAGATGCAGTATGCTATCTTTTCTTTTATCATAACTTTCATATCTTCAGCTATAAAAAAATCTTCTGTCTACTATGACTATTATGTTGGTGGCGCAACGCAGAATGTTAATTAGGACGTGTATTAAAGTTGTTCAGTGAATTAGAGTTTAAAAATGATGTACTCAAGAGATTAGATAGTCTAAGGTAAATCTCATAATATAACATCGCGTGTAAATAGGCTTTTTCTAAAGTTTTTCGGATCGTTCTTATTATTGTTTTGGGAAATTTTGACATTTCAAAGATTGTTGTAAGGAAAAGTAACTGTTCAAAAAGATTTTTTCACGTTAAGATTTTTCTATATTATGTTGGGTCTTACTAAGTATAATGAATACCTGATGTAACTTTTTTGGCTCGTTAATGTTGGGGCGTTGATTTTTACCCATTTACCTATCTGGATAATAACCTTCCTCCATTAAATGTTATGATGGAGTCCTTGGACGGTAATCAGATAAATATCTCGGAAGGATGAAGATAGACACTTTAATGATGTTAATGCAACAGTTTTTGTTAATTTGCAATTTTGTACGAGTAATTACGACGAATTTTGTACGATTTTGGTTTTATAATTTTTTATTGTAGTTTACAAGTTATTTTTCCAGGGACATGATCTTCTGAATCATTCTCCTCGCTGCCTTTCACGGTTAGCTTGACCTCCCTTAAGTCTTACCTTTTAAGTTAACAATTTGCTACTTACGAGAATGAGTTGGTTAGGCTGGCATCTTAGAGCTTATTGAATGGTTTTGAGATAGTGTGTTTATGAAGATAGATTTAAAATGGAAGATCTATAAAATGTAAGCGACTTGTACCGACTTGATGGTATTTACTCGAATAAAGATACTCTCTCTGATAAACGTTGTGCGATCATCGTTAACCTAATGTGTGCTTTTGTTAATAACAAAGTCAACGCTTTGGACCACTATTCAGCTGTTCGTAGAAGATGATTTTACTTAAGTCTAAAGGTTGTGGTTATTAGTTGTGGTATCATACCATTTGTTCTATAGTCTAGAGTAGTGCGTGGCAAGGGAGATGCACCACTTGATAGTTTGACCTTCCTTCAACATTCGTGAACGATTTCCAACATTATTATTCATTAACAAAATAAGCATTAATTATTTTGTTGGTTGTAGTTTTTTTTGCAAAATGCAATAACAGCGTCTTCTCCTGCATCTTTTCTTTTATCATAATTTTCATATTTTGAGCTATGAGAAATCTTTTGTCTAGTATGGCTATTATGTTGATAGCGTAACGCAGACTGTTTATTAGTACGTGTATTAAAGTTTAGAACTCTATTGATGTAATTAGAATTTAAAATTGATATACTCAAATGATTAGACAGTCTAAAGTAATCTCATGATATACATCTCGTATAAGTAGTGTCTTTGGATGAATTCACAAAATACATAATCTAAAATATCCAGTTGCATAATCAAAGATGCACAAGAAATTTCATCTACCACCTAAAATCCAAAAACTCTTTTCTTTTAACTTTCACACTAATTGCATTCAATTCAAACTTTTAAGGATATTTCGGGTCTTAGTCAATTTCCTCATCTGTGACTTGATATCTCCATATTATTAAGATTGTATTAATCATAAGATTATTATTATTATTATTATTATATATGTCATGTTTTAATTTCAGGCTAATTTGGTGCCGTGTAAAAATTGTAACAGAACGTTCTATCCCGATCGTCTCATGGTTCATCTGAAAACCTGCAAACCATCACAATCTTCACTCACGGTGAGTTGATTTATATGACATATATTTGACAGATTTTTTTAATTAATCACTTTGTTGCAATAATGATTAGAGGAAATTGGCAAAATTTGAAGAACTACGAGTACAACAAAAAAGTGCGACCACTCGAATGGCCAGCCCGCCAGGTTCAAATCCCAAAGGAATTCCGTGTAGCGTTTGCGGACGACTTTTTGGAACACAATCCATAAAATTCCACGAACCCCAATGTTTAAGGAAATGGCACTTACAAAATGATCATCTACCACCGAATAAACGGGAACCAATGTATAGCGAAACAGGTTTGTTAATATTTTAGACAATATATTTTTCTTTAATCTTAAGATTAATTTTTAGTTCAAATTGAAACTGAAAAGGTAGCTTCAACACCACAAACACCAAATAAAAATGATGATGAGCCGAATAATAAAAAACCACCGATGTTTCCATGTTATTTATGCGGAAGATTATTCAGCGTTAATTCGATTTACATTCACGAACCGCAATGTTTAAAAAAATGGAAAGTTGAAAACGACAAGTTACCACCGTTTAAAAGAAAACCCGTTCCTGTAAAACCAGATATAAAGTTTACACGTAAGTAAATAATATTTTATATTAATTGCGTGTTTAAATCCACTATTCAACATTTAACCCAATCGCGATTACAAAATCGCCTTCTAGTTTCCCTTATTTTAATTGACTTTAGTGGTCTTGCACGGCCAAAGTTAAATTGAAGGTAAAAGGGTTATTACGTAGCGAAAGTTCATCAACCTGAAACCCTCTCTACGAGTATATCGATTTGACTCGAAAAAACACCATAAACTGCACCGAGTCGTAGACGAAATGACCACTTTCAAAACGTTGCACCACCAGATGAAACAACCTGATTAAAGACAAAATACTAAAATTACCATACGAGAAAAAACGACCGCATAATAACCATGTCTAAATCAATTTTTACTTGTAAAAGACCCATAAAGTTTATTAGAAAATGAGATTTATGTTTTATTGATTGAAAGATCTTCCGTTTTACTTGCAGGTGATGGTAAAATTGACCATAATGCGATGGCCGATGCCAATTGGCGTAGTCATCTCGAACAGCTCGTTCCCTGCAAGAATTGTGGAAGGACTTTCAATCCGGATAGGGTGTGCGTTCACGAGAAGTTTTGCAAAGCTGAGAGAAGAAGGAATTTTAGGGATATAGAAATTATTGATATGTATAATTGAATATCTTATAATTGATATTCACATATAAGACTTGGGTAATAAGTCTGTGGAGATTAAGAGTGTGTAAGAAAAAAACTTTTTTTCAATTTTTGTAGGAAGAATGTACTTTATTTTTGTAACTAATGGATTGCATATTTATTTATGTAAACAATTATTGCTTTCTTAATGTTTCAAGTATTATAATATATTAATTATTTTTTAGTGTTAACATAATGTGATATGAAAATATAAATGATATATAAGTCTATAAAGGTGTTATGGCACATTTTAAATGTTTCAAGTGAATTGGTTTTAAAGTTTTTCATCTGGATTATTAAGATTTTTTTTTACTTAATTTATGGCGAATATTTTTTTCATTAATATTTTTCCAAGTCATTTACTTCATGGTTATAAGTTGCGATTTTCAAAGAATTACTAGTTATAGGATAAATTTATTAATATATAAGTTAAGCACAAATTTAAATTTATACATGAAATACTTAAAAAGTGTATTATCTCCTTTATATGTAATGTTACCTTCATCGACTTATGTCTTCAAATATTAGTATGAATTGTATTATAAATGTATTAACTTGTTACAAGAATTTAAAACGAATAAACATACTGAAATGGTCTGCATTTAACTTTGTTAAATTCCATGCAAGATGTTGCGTTGTGTTGGGTTGGTTTACCTGCTTGATATTGAACAACTTTGTGCGAAACTTGTTTACGTTTTAAGCCTTCATTGAAAAGGAAAGTATGCACAAAGAATCGAGTGTTATGGACCATAACGTTATGTGTTATAAATTGCTATAATTAATATTCCACAACATTTCTTGGAAAAATTGACACCTAACCGTAATTTTGTGGGTATTCTAGTTAACACTACAAGAATTTATGAAGTTTTCACTTCCCTAAACACTTATAAATTCAGTCGTGTGTTAAGATATCTATTAAATAAATAGCCCAAAAGAATTACTTTAAGTTTTAAACTCTGCGCTACTCCACACCACAAGACTGCCCCATCAAACCAGCACAATTAGATATCAACCTAAAAGAAACAATTTCTTATAGGTATGCTATAAAGATCCTTTGCTTCATCATTTTTTGAAAGATGATGCTACAATCTTAACTCCCAAAGTTATTGGCGTATTAAGTCAGGATTTGTTGCTATAAATCTTTACTTACTTAAAAATTAGAGTGTGAAAGTTGTAACTGTCTTATTGTAACATTGCAATTTTATAAACTATACAGTAATTGGTGAGGTGACCGCTACTGGGCGTTAGAAATGCAAGATCACTCTCAGCGAGGAAAAATAATGAATGAATTACACCCTATTGATTGACGTTAAAGATTGATGATAACATTCTAAAAGCGATCCAGATTCTAGAACTTTTCAAGAATTGAGTTCTTGAACTTTAAAATTTTAGCCAATACTAAAGAACTGTCTAGATGTCTATCATCGAAAATCATCACAAACGACTTACTTAGAGGAATTAATGCCCAAGCACAATTTTGTGGTTATTCTAGTCAACACTTCAAGAAATTATGAAATTTATGCAATGTTAATGGTCAAATGTGGAGGAATGAACTGAGAATTAATAAAACTAACGCTTTGGCAACTTTTAATACGAAAGATTTAGCAAGTCAATACAGTCTGAGGGACGCCAAACGTACGAATCAGTGTTTTCTACAGTTTCTTTAGAGTAAGAACTTTATCAATTGTTTGCAGAAATGATTTTTAATAACTTAGATAACAAAATTATCGCTTGATTTTTGTAAATCATCTTTAAACGTTTACTGCAAACAACGCTGCAATACATCCAACCCAAATGTAAATTAAGAGATAGCTGATTTTTTGCAGAACTTGTATTTATTAGGTAACGTGGTGCTAAAGTGAATCAATCAATTAACGAATTTGAAAACTAACTTCAAAACTATGAATCTTCATTGCAGATATTTGGTCTGATTCCAATACAGGTGTTTGACTTCTAAGCCTAACAACTCATGGAATAACAGAAGCTTTTAAAAAGCTGACATGGTTTTAAAATGTGAACGGCGGTCATACAGGTGATGTCATATTTGAGAAACAAAGCTTATTGAATAGAACTTATGGGAAAATGTTTACTGTTTTATTCATAAAAGAGGATCAAACATGACTGAAGCTATGAATTTCTTTGAATTTCTTCTCATAAATTATACATACAATCAGGTTTCAAAAACTTTATATCAAACAGTTTGGCTAATCTTTTCTAACAATTATTCAAAACTACCCTACAGTAGTATTAGTATACATAAACTGAATTTTGTAATCATTTCTTACCTAACATTATCCTTGCTAAACAAAACTGACCTTGCCCAACATTCTTTCCCGGTATGATTTACGTCTTAAACGAAAACTATCTCACTTAACAGTCTTTCTCAGGATGATTGACGTTTCAAAAGAATAAATATATAATATAATAGATATCAAACGTTGTTTACCCGGAAGTCATTGCCCTTGGTAAACAAAACTGACCCTGCCCAACATTATTTCCTGTCATGATTGCGTTTCGAACCAGAACTAACCTTACCCAATATTCTTTCCTGAGATGATTGACATTTCAATAGAAAACTAACCTTATCCAACACAAGAGAGGAAGGCTGCCACGAGGGGATGAGATCCAGAATGAGACATAGTTGGAGGCAACGGAGACAGTAAAGAAGAAGCTATGGAAGCTAATAAACGACCTATGGAGAGGGGAGCGGTTTGGAAGACAGTTGGAAGGTGGGATAATATGCCCACTGTATAAAAAGGGGTCACTTATTACCCTGTTGGACACTACATTTAATATATATATGCAAAGGTAGTGCTGGGGAGATTGGAAGAGGAAATGGAGAGGTTATTGCCGGATGGGCAGGCGGGATTCAGGAAGGGAGAAGGGCAATTAACAATATATACATAATGAAACACTTGGCAGATAGAGAGTTGAACAAGAAGGGAGGAAAGTTGTATGCATATTGCTCGTAGACCTGAATGCGGCATTTGATAAGGTGGATAGAGGGATGATATGGGAGGAAATGAGGAGGAGAGGTAGCACAGAGCAACATATAGAGAAGGTGAAGGAGACGTACAGGGTGAGTTAAGCGCGATATTCTGGACGACGAAGGAATTGAGAGAAGGGTGTCCGCTTATTCCCTATTCGCGATGTATACGGCGAACTTGGAAGAGAGCGCTGGCGTATCCGGATGATTTGGTGATCGTGGCAAGAGAGGCGGTGGAGAGATATTTTAAAGCGAAGGGGTTGGAGGTGAACGTCGAGAAGACAAAGATCATGAAGTTTTGCAACGGGGGGAGAAGAAGGAGAGAGGAATGGAGATGGGAAGGAAGAGAGACATAGGAAGTCAACGTTTACGTAACTGGGATATCGGTTCTCGGACGGTAATACGGTGCGGTCACACGTGAGGACTATGACAAAAAGAGCGAACAGGGTGATGGGACAGGTTTGGAGATGAGGCGAGAGAACTTTTAGGAGGAATGTGGGAAAGGTTATGTTTGATTGCTTGGTAAGGAACGCAATGATATACGGTGCAGAAGTATGGGGATGGAGAGCACAAGGAATGCTGGAGGATGTGCAAACAATGTATTGGAGATGGGGACTAGGGTTGGCGAAAGAGACTGTATAGTGACAGAAGAGGTTAAGGTTGATTTATTGTAAATTATAAACAATAAAATACGTTTATTAGTATTATTGTATGGTATTGGATCACCACGTAAGTCATGCTCAGGTTAATATGAATAACCAAAAGTATAACCAAAAGTAGTAAGGAAAAACTTTTTGCATACATCAGATTCATACGCCCAAATCAAGACCATTTTCCTCGTCACTTAATTTAAAAAATGCTTGTTTTAGAGCAAATTGCAGATACGTCAGTAGTTTCTTGTATATTTAGACCTTCGAATACTAATTTTTCATCTTTGGAATAGTGAAGATATGCAGAGTGTTTCGTGTAAGAACCGACACAGAGCAACTCTATTTACGCAACTATGTGCAAAGGCCTGCAAAGTAATAACCAATTTTGTGCGAAAATGTAGGTATCCCCTTTGAGCTTAGGATGACAAAACAACTGTTACAAATTTGATTTATATTAACCCTTTGTGTCCAAATAAGTCAAAAATTTGGAAACTTTGTGACAGAATTAAAACGCTATCAAAATACACTCAGTAAAGGCCTTTGGAATCAATTTTAGCAAAATATGTAATCCCTCCATTCCAGGGGGATAATGGTACTTGAGAGTACCATCAAGCATTAAAATATACTTTAGTGATGTTGCAGTAAACAAAACCTTTTATTGCCAATAAAAATTAACACATTTATGTATTACGTTAGAAAGTAAGTAACACTTGCTTTAGGTAAATCACATTATGATATTCAAAAAAAACAGATCTTTCTTTCATTATAACATAAATAAACATTGCACTGAAAATGTACTGCGGTTTTCAGTGGGGTTTAGCTGTGGCAGAACAATTTTCACAACTTCCTCTTTCTTTTGAAATTACGCTACGACATTTTCGTGGACGCAGTAGAAAAAACAGATTGAGCAAAAATTAACACTTTCGTATAACCTAAAAATGTCAAAAAATATGCTAATTTAATTCCTGGAAGCCGTATTTATTGAAATTAAGGAATGAGACTTATTCTAAGCTCAATCCTTTCTCTTTAAAATGATGTATAATAATGGTTGTATTGGATCACAAAAATGTGGAGAAAAAAAATGTTGAAATTAAACTTACATTTCCGTAGAACCTAAAAATGTCAAAAAAGAAGTTAATTTAAAAATTCCTGGAAGCTGTGTTTATTGAAATTAAGGAATGAAACTTATTCTAAATTAAAGCTCAAAACTTTCTCTTTAAAATGATGTATAATAATTGTTGGGTTGGATTGGAAAAATATTGAGAAAAAAGATGTTGAAATAAAACTTACACTTTCGTATAACCTAAAAGTGTGAAAAAAGATGGTAATTTAAAAATTCCTGGAAGCCGTGTTTACTGAAATTAAGGAATGGGACTTATTTTAAATTAAAGCTCAAAGCTTTCTTTTTAAAATGATGTATAATAATTGATGGGTTGGATTGGAAAATATTAAGAAAAAGAATGTTGAAACAAAACTTACATTTTCGAATAACCTGAAAATGTCAAAAAAGATGCTAATTTAAAAATTCCTGGAAGCCGTGCTTATTGAAATTAAGGAATGAGACTTATTTTAAATTAAAGCTCAAAGTTTTCTTTTTAAAATGATGTTTAATAATTGATGGGTTGGATTGGAAAATATTAAGAAAAAGAAAGTTGAAACAAAAGTTACATTTTCGAATAACCTGAAAATGTCAAAAAAGATGCTAATTTAAAAATTCCTGGAAGCCGTGCTTATTGAAATTAAGGAATGAGACTTATTTTAAATTAAAGCTCAAAGTTTTCTTTTTAAAATGATGTTTAATAATTGATGGGTTGGATTGGAAAATATTAAGAAAAAGAATGTTGAAACAAAACTTACATTTTCGAATAACCTAAAAGTGTCAAAAAAGATGCTAATTTAAAAATTCCTGGAAGCCGTATTTATTGAAATTAAGGAATGAGACTTATTTTAAATTAAAGCTCAAAGCTTTCTCTTTAAAATGATGTATAATAATTGTTGGGTTGGATTGGAAAAATATAGAGAAAAAAAAAGTTGAAATAAAACTTACATTTTCGTATAACCTAAAAGTGTCAAAAAAGATGCTAATTTAAAAATTCCTGGAAGCCGTATTTATTGAAATTAAGGAATGAAACTTATTTTAAATTAAAGCTCAAAGCTTTCTTTTTAAAATGATGTATAATAATTGTTTTGTTAGATTGGAAAATATTAAGAAAAAGAATGTTGAAACAAAACTTAAATTTTCGTATAACCTAAAAGTGTCAAAAAAGTTGCTAATTTAAAAAATCCTGGAAGCCGTGTTTATTGAAATTAAGGAATGAGACTCATTTTAAATTAAAGCTCAAAGCTTTCTTTTTGAAATGATGTATAATAATTGTTGGGTTGGTTTGGAAAAATATTAAGAAAAAAAATGTTGAAACAAAACTTACATTTTCGTATAACCTAAAAGTGTCAATTGAAATTAAAGAATGAGACTTATTTTAAATACCGGTACTTTAAAGTACCGTTCGGGACACAAAGGGTTAAAGTGAAACCTTTTATATTCAGTTCTTAAAAAGTAATATCTTAAACTTACTTAAAATAAAAATTTTTTTCATTGGCTCTAGATTCTAGATATTAATCATAAATAATTTTTATTTTTCATTAGCAACCTTTATTTCAAATTCACAATAATAAACAATAAGAATTTCACAATATTTTCTCACGTGATGTCAATAGTAATACTAAATATTATGGTTGAGCACCTAAAATACGCAAAATGAGAATTTCACAATGTTATTAAACATACCCGTACAAAATTCCTACAAGAATACAAGATAAGAGAGTAAATATAGATTTTTTTATAACGAATTACAAAAATAAGATGGATTACTTGAATTTTATTATCACCACAACGTTTTATTTTTTAACTCATTTTTTTGTATAGAATTATTTAAACCTCAACCCACACATTTTCCCACCTTACACGTGCAATATTGATTTTTACAAGTATTGCACAACATTAGATTCAGAAATTTTAAAAGATTATGAATGAAAATTTGTGTTTTAAGCAACATTTTAGTAATAATTTATTTTTATTTTAGCATCTGGTGGTGTTGATTTTGTGGGAACATTCCACCGGATTTGGGATAATCATTTAGCGGAATTGGTCGAGTGCAGAAAATGCGGACGAAAATTCTTTCCCGATCGCATCGAGAAACACGAAGCCGTTTGCGCTGGTATAAAAATCGCGTTAAAACGAAAACCCGCTAAATAAATCAATTAAAAATAAATAAAATTTATAAAAAATTAACATAACCTTATTTTTTTTTGTTATGCGTTCCCCCTCCTCTCGCTAAAATATTCATCTTCCGATGCACTTTTAACCCCCACCACAACCTAGCAACGCGGTGTATAAAATTGTTTCGGAAGCACTGGTCGATCCATAGAAAAACGGTGATTGGTCGGCTGTCAAATATTTGTCAAGCAGCGCCCTCTGGTACTGCGTGGCAACCAGTTCGCTTTCTATCTTCCTTTTGCAGGGAGTACGCCATTGTTGGCGTTTGTGTTTTAACCCAAGAAAGAAAATCTAAAATCATCCAATATGGTAAGTCTTTTAGAAACGTTTTTAATAAACCAAACGGAAAAACTAATCCCGCTTCGATTATCCGCGGCCGTATTTTCCGATTTCCACAAATCCAACTTTAATAAAATCCAATATAAACGCGATTGCACAATGGTACGAAATCATACCATAAGCTGTTTAAACCAACATTTACTTTATTTAATCCCATTCACAACGTTTTCTTAACAATTTCCATTTATCCATGATCCATTCCGCAAACCGATTAATCGAAATTTCCTTGTTAAACCGATTTACGTCAAAAAACATCGAAAATGGTAAGTGCCATTTTAACGACCACGTTTTTTCCATCACCTCCAATATGTTAATTTCCTATTGATATTAATAATTCTAACCTAAATTTAATGATTTTTTGATAAAAATAACTTCCATATGGATACTTTATTCTTATTATTTGTGTTATTTTATTTATTTTTATTTTTTTTTAGGTTATGTGTTTAATAGAAATGAATTTTTTTATTTTAGGTGAACTTCACGGTAGACGAAATCCGTACCATGATGGACAAAAAGAAGAATATCCGTAACATGTCCGTCATTGCTCATGTGGACCATGGAAAATCGACTCTTACGGACTCCCTTGTATCCAAAGCTGGTATCATTGCCGGTGCCAAAGCTGGAGAGACTCGATTTACTGATACTAGGAAAGATGAACAGGAAAGGTGTATTACCATCAAGTCAACGTGAGTAAAAAGGACCATTGAAAATTAATTAAATGTAAAAATGAAAGAATTTTTTTTGTTTTATTAAAAAAAAATTATTTTGATTTTTAAAAATTTACCTTNTCCCGCTTCGATTATCCGCGGCCGTATTTTCCGATTTCCACAAATCCAACTTTAATAAAATCCAATATAAACGCGATTGCACAATGGTACGAAATCATACCATAAGCTGTTTAAACCAACATTTACTTTATTTAATCCCATTCGCAACGTTTTCTTAACAATTTTGATTTATCCATTATCCATTTGGCAAACCGATTAATCGAAATTTCCTTGTTAAACCGATTTACGTCAAAAAACATCGAAAATGGTAAGTGCCATTTTAACGACCACGTTTTTTCCATCACCTTCAATATGTTAATTTCCTATTGATATTAATAATTCTAACCTAAATTTAATGATTTCTTGATAAAAATAACTTCCATATGGATACTTTATTCTTATTATTTGTGTTATTTTATTTATTTTTATTTTTTTTTAGGTTATGTGTTTAATAGAAATGAATTTTTTTATTTTAGGTGAACTTCACGGTAGACGAAATCCGTACCATGATGGACAAAAAGAAGAATATCCGTAACATGTCCGTCATCGCGCACGTGGACCACGGAAAATCGACTCTTACAGACTCCCTCGTATCCAAAGCTGGTATCATTGCCGGTGCCAAAGCTGGAGAGACTCGATTTACCGATACTAGGAAAGATGAACAGGAACGGTGTATTACCATCAAGTCAACGTGAGTAAAAAGGACCATTGAAAATTAATTAAATGTAATAATGAAAGAATTTTTTTTTGTTTTATTAAAAAATATTTATTTTGATTTTTAAAAATTTACTTTTAAGGGGACTAACAAAGAATTAAAGGATTATTGATTATTAGAAAAGGAGAAATGTAATTTATGGTATACAAGATTAAAATTTTTATATAAATTGGATTTTACTCCATTATATTTTAAATGATAATATTAATAAGTCAATTTCATAGCTTTAGATAGTCTAAAACCTATTTTTTTTTATCATTTACTTTAGTCAATTGCAGAATTTTATACTCTAGAATGGTTAGGAATATTTTAAGATTTCTTTATTTGATGTTTTTCAATGCTGTTTTTATTATTTTGTTAAATTTTTTTCTTGGTATTCAAAAACTCTAAATAGACTTAATATTCTTTGTTATTTAGCTACAGGCTATCTCAATGAACTACTCAGCTGTTCAACTGTATGCCCAAACTTACACAAAATGTATAATTCCTCACCATGAATCAGACTCATGGTTTTCACTTATGCCACAAATTTGTTACCACAAATCTTACTCATGGTTGTAGACCAAAGGGTTAACCTTTCCTTCTAAAGAGAAATATAAAAAGCCTTAGTTGTTAATGTAGTGATAAACACCCAGATTATAAAACAAAATCTTTTGGCATAAAAAAGCTGGTTCAAAGGTTAATTTTGGGATAAGCTATTGCAGGTCAAATGAAATAACACCTTTTATCTGTTTTTAACTCACATTCTACTTTGTTTTTTTATTAAACTTTACATTATAGCTGAAATTAATAAGTGCAAATTCAACTTGCAATACATTCTTTTGCTCAACTTCAAGCACAGAACCTATTAAGTATGGATAGAGATACACTCATGGTTATTACTTCTAGCACAAATTCATTACCACAAGTCTTACTCATGGTTGTAGACCAAATGTTTAACCTTTTCTTCTTAAGGAAAATACAAAACGCCTTGGTTGTTGATGTTATTATAAACACCCAGATTATACAACAAAATCTTTTGGCAATAAAAAGCTGGTTCAAAGGTTAATTTTGGGATAAGCTATTGCAGGTCAAATGAAACAACACGTTTTTATCTGCTTTTATTGCACCTTCTACTTTGTTTTTTAATAAACTTTGCACAAAAGTTGAACAGCTAACTTTTCTGCAAATTCAACTTCAAGCTCTCTGCTTAAATTAAGCCTATTAAGTAGGGAAGTTTTGATTTTCAAAAAGAATTAATTAAACTCTAACAAAATTATTAATAAATGNCTACTTTGTTTTTTAATAAACTTTGCACAAAAGTTGAACAGCTAACTTTTCTGCAAATTCAACTTCAAGCTCTCTGCTTAAATTAAGCCTATTAAGTAGGGAAGTTTTGATTTTCAAAAAGAATTAATTAAACTCTAACAAAATTATTAATAAATGAATATGGTTAAGATGGCACACTGTCACCATGAAGGACTAGTGATGGGAATTTATCCAGTGTTTATATTTGTGAATATTTGTAAAATGGATAAATAATCAAATGTTTATTTGAAAGTCATAATTTCGAGTTTCTGTCGCTTAAGTAAGTAAAGATAACAACAAAATAAAACACTAAAAATGTGGACATCTATAACATTTAGGTATTGATCTTTATTTTAATATTCACAAAAAGCTATTTACAGATCTTCTGATTATGGTTCAGAATGAGATTTTGAATCAGAGTCAAAAATCTCCAAAAATTACTTTTTTTTAACACTATCATTTTCTCTGTCTGTATCAGATTCTTTGCCATTTTTACTTGATATACTATTGTTTAATTTCTAATTGTACGCAGTATGTGTCACCTTTCCTGTTCTTTCACTTTCAAGACGATTGCGTCTCTTACTGTGTATACAGCTGAAAGTATAGAATGATATTTCAGTTGCTGCTGATGTAACTGGTGCTGACAAAATGCGAACATCAATTTTGCTTAATGTACTACTGCAGCAGAGTCCTTTCCACCATGACAATGGGCTCATCAATGCCATACTTGTATTTTTCCATACAAAAGCTCTACTCCACAAACCTTCATTAGACTTATACTTTGCCAAATCAGCCATAACATAACAATTATTATTATTATTAGAAAAGAAATGTAATTTATGATATACAAGACTATAATTTTTTTATGAGTTGTTTTAGTTTGATTTGACTCCATTATATTTTAAATAATAATATACTAAATATTAACATTTACATTAGTTAATTGCAAACTTTTTTTATACTCTAGAATGGTTAGGAATATTTTAAAATTTCTTTATTTGATGTTTTTGAATGCTGTTTATTATTTAAAATTTTTTTCTGGTACCTCTTCGTGGTATTTACAAAACTGTATAAGAGTTAATATTCATTATCTACACATTGTCATTTGGCTACAGGCTATCTCAATAAACTACTCAGCTGTTCAACTGTATGTCCAAACTTACACAAAATGTGTAATTCCTCACCATGAGTCAAGACTCAAGGTTTTCACTTATGGCACAAATTCATTACCACAAGTGTTACTCATGGTTGTAGACCAAAGGTGTAACCTTTCTTTCTGAAGAGGAATACAAAAAGTCTTTGGCAATAAAAGGCTGGTTCAAAGGTTAATTTTTGGATAAGCTATGGCAGGTCAAATGAAACAACACACTTTTTATCTGTTTTTGTATCACATTCTACTTTGTTTTTTAACCCCTTACTGCGTGATTTGTTATATTTAATTAAAAATAAGTCTATTACACTACTAACCTACTCAGAAGCTTACAAACCGTTGAAAATATGTATACATTGTTTTTTTTAAAAGTATTTAGAAAAAAGCTTTGTGCCATATATGGCACAATTTGAGGTATAAGCAAAAATTAACAAGACATTTAGTATAATATTTGATTTTAATTGTATTACAAGAAATATAACATTATAGATTTAAATTTATTCTACATGAAAATTAAAGAAACAATTTCGATCTTTATTCAAACAAAGGTGATCATTTTATGCACATCACAAAGGTTCCTGGTTTTACATTCTGGTTATTTACACCATTGGCGTTCATTACAAGTCCATTTTGGTAGGTGATTAAGATTGTCCTTGCGAATGTCTTGGGCAAAAATTTCTGAGATCCAGTATTTTTTCTTTTTTAGATTCAGTTTAGACTGTAAATGATTGCTTGGTCTCGCTTTTTTGGAATTGTTTTTGATATTGTTAGCACTTCAGCTATGCCTAGTTTGAATTTAGAGACTGGCAAATACATTTCTGAATCAGCAAATCTTCTTCTCCATAAAAGCCAAGCATTTACACATATCAGATCTAATTGTAAGAAATTAAAGAAAATTCTGAAATACAATTTTTTGAATCTAATGTGTATTTGGTAGTAGCCTAACACGGAGTCCAAGAGATCAAGTAAATGCTTACATTTCTCAGGTGTGGTATATTTATATAATTTCTTTGTTTCTGACAAAATATTTGAACTTTAGACACATTTTGACTTCCAACATAGGTTGATATAGTTGTGACTAGCAACTATGTTTACATCTACATTTGCAATTTTTTCAGTTATAGTTATTACTGTTTGATACTCGATTTCTTTTAACAGGACCAAGATGTAAAATATCTTGTTTTGACAAGTAAATGAGTAGACCAGATGTTGAAAAATAACTTGTAATTTTGATTTCTAGGTATCACTTCCACTAGTTTTACAACAACATTGCTGCTCATACCAAGATTTGGTTGATTCAGTCACTTAGAACAAATACTTTGTAACCCCACTTGCGGGGTTTCTTAGGGTTATATTGTTTTAGATGGGATCTAGGTTTTGTAGGTATGATTTGCTCATCTACAGCCATATGTTCTTCCTTGGGAATAGTAAACAATCTTTCTCTAACTTTAGAAAGAAAAGGTTCGAAGTTTTTTGTGGTTCTCCTTATTTTATTTGATCACTGTTGTTGAAATGACGAAATTTTTTGATTCCTTCAAATCTATTGCAAATCATAGTGCCACAAATTGCAGGAATAACCATGGAAAATTTCTACAAATAGCTTCTTGTAGAAGACAACTGTATAATACACATATAAATAGAAATACCTAAAAATCCACGAATTTCTTCTGCAGTTATATTTGTTGGTTTCTCTGGTCTACACTGAACTGAGTATAAATTTGTTTCTTCTGTAATATAATTTACTATCTCCGTTGTGAGCAAGTATTTGAAGAAGTCATGAGGGTCTTCCATGTTTATTATTTTATTTCTTAGCATTCAGTTTTTGTAAAATCTCGCTTTCAATTTGTTTGGTGCTACAAAACTGCAACACCTCCTAGATAAATGACTGACGCGTAAAACTTGGATGCAAGTGTCCCAATTATGTCACGAATTGTATTAAAAGTAAGAAACACATCTGTAAATAAAAATCACACACAAACATAAAACATATATGGCACACTATGCGGTAAGGGGTTAATAAACTTTGATGGAAAATTCTCGACAAAAAAAATAGAATATTCTTGATTTTGGGAATTTTCTGAAAACAAGCTTTTCAATACAAATACAGCTCAGCAAATTTAGTTTAACGGCTGTAACATGGCATGGTTCATTTTGGAGGACTTATTTATATTGTTTAGAATATATTTGGCGTAAAAAAATAATTTATTCTGTGAAACAAAAAAAAATAAATAAAAACGATTATTCTAAGAAAAATTAAACAATTCTTAGTTCGAATCTAATAAATTTTCAAACAGCTCTGGAAAAGTTTCTAAATCACTGCATTTAATCACTTCAATGCCAGAAAAGTCTTCATTGCCCTCGTTAACCTCCACATTGGTGGCAGAATCTAATAATTTTAAATTATGAGCAATGAAAGCAGTAGATGCTGAAACGTCTTTCTGTTGTTGCACTCGACGCAAGCATACTTTAATATTGACCCAAAACAGGTCCCCTTCTGCCATACAACAGGATGTCGTTTTTTCACAGATTTTTAAAACCCTTCTTTAGGGCCAATTCTACCATTACCTCTGCAGATTCATCTGGGCTTGTTACAGTAGCCATATTGTCTATAAACTCTATTCCTTGTATTTGTTCTTCTCTATTAAGGTGAATTCCATTAAAATTTGGATCTAGAAATATTTGTAGCCTGATGAAATAGATTTATTGCAATTTGCTTTCTTTTAACTAAAAAGTTTTTTACTTCCTTTTCCTCTTGGTTAAGCAAAGGGTTTGAGGAAAGAGCTGTTTCAAAATGACTTTTCAACTCATAAAAGCATTCAGCTACTTGGCTTAACCTTGGTTTGTCTCCTTCCAGTTGGGTTATGTATTTAAGATATGGTTTCATAGGTGATAAAAGTTTGAAACTTTTACCCAAAAAATATCCTCACCCAATATCAACTTTACAACTCGTTTACTGAGTATATCTTTAACTGTTTCACAAACTGCTAATGTTTTTAATGCATATTTTGTATAAAGAAGCCCTTTTAAACTGTAAATAATTGATCGTCTTCGTGTTTTCTCAGGTAATTTTAAGGAAATGGCTGCTTTGGTGTAATTTCTTTCAGTTTGCTTTTTTTTGAAACTAGCCAATAAAATGTGAGAATGGTTAGTTTCTTTGATGACAGCCTTAACATCTTCCCTAATAGTAGACATGGTTTTCATTTTTGAAATGTCTCCAATTAACAAATTTATGCATCCATAAACAAAAATATGTTTGTACTTTTCATGAAGTATATTTCTTGCTTTAACCACTGCACTGGCATTGTCGGTTACTGTATCAAAGAATTTTTCAGTCCCAACTTCTCTCAATACTTCATCGATTTTTTTAGTAATACATTCTGCTGCATGACGACATATATTTGTTGGTAAAGTTTTACAAAACACATGGTTTGGTGTAGTAATAATGAGGTTAAGTATGGATTCGTTCCTTTGGTTGCTCCAACAACCACTCTGTAAACTAGAACATTCGCTTCTTCAATTTTCATTTTAATGTCTGCGTCAACTTTTTTAGGTTGGAGTCCAGTAATTTATTTGATAATAACTAATGTGTAGGTATTTTGAGTCTCAAATGTTTGAAAAATGATGGCCAGTGATTATTTTCAACAATGGCAAATGGAGTACCTGTAGCATAAATAGCCCTAGCTAATAGTTGATCTGCTTCTCTTGTTTTTCAACGCTTTTGAAAGTCTCGTCTAATCATATAATTTATTTTGTTCTAGACAAGAATTAATCTGCAAAAATTAGCCAATGGCCATCTTTATATAGATCGTTCTGTATTATAAGTAGCACACAATTTATCAATTTACCCCTGATTTTATCCTATTGTAAAATTGTGTTATCTCCAAAGTGGTCGTCCTTGATTTGGTGTTGTTTCATCAAAGGTGATCTTCACTGATAGTTCGTCGACGTCCATGCGACGGAGGCTTCCGTTCATTACACCTTTGTCGAGATTTGTTCTATTTATTGGTCTATTTTTCCAAAGTTGGATATGCATGAGAAACACCTGTATATTGTACGTCTTTTAATGATAGTTTCTGAATGTTGCTTTATTCTACTATAATTCTTATTCTGATATGATTACACATGAAGCCAGCTCTTTATCAGTTTAAGCCTCTCTAACTTAGTATCGATACTGATTTTCGCTTTTACCAGCCTGACATCCGTACAAATTCCTTTGCTGCTGGTCAGGATGTAATCGATTTCAATTTTCACCCTGTTTATTTATTTATAGTCCAGTAGCATTAGATCCCGTTCGTTCCTGTTTCATAGGTCCTGTTTTCCTAGGTGAGTTTGTCATATCCAAAAATGTATCACATTTTTAATGCGATATATCTTTGCGTTAAAGTCACCCATCACGACAACAAACTTGGCCTTCTCTGCATTCCTCGCAAGGTTACGTATTCGTAGAACTGCTCGACCTCTACGTAGATAATGGCTTACTTGTAATTAATTTTGTTCATCTGTAATTACACTAATTATAAATGAGATAACTTTGGGAACTGCGTTTTCTTATAATTTTGTTTACAATAACTTTTATAAGCGCTTAAAGAAGATTTTTTAGTTTAACATCCTGATTTTTCTAAGCTCATATTCTTGGAGCAAATCTGAATGACTACAAAGAAATAATACCCAACCCAAAATTCAACACAAAAAATTTCTTTGCACCATCTTTCTTTATGGTGCCATTGTTGATTGGTCTCATAATCCATTAAAATGTATAGAAAAAGATTTATCTGACAAGTTTCAAATAAAATGTTAAGAATATTTTTTACCTGGACTAGCAAAAGAAATAACTCCTACCTACCTGGTTTAGAAACCATTGTTGAATATAATTAAAGCTTTACTAGCAATGGAGTTTACAAAAGAAAAGACTGCCTCATTCAAAGACTACCTGTTTTAATGACATTTTATTATTGAATATTTTGCTATTATAATATGATGATTGTTCTCACAGACCTGTTCTGACTAAAATTTTTGAAGAAACATAGAACGGCCATCTGATAAATACCAAAAATTATTTATTATAAATTAAATTTCAAAAAGAATTATGTTGTAACATTCATATTATGTTTCCAGTGCCATATCCATGTTCTTTGAGCTTGAAGACAAGGATTTAGTCTTCATCACAAACCCCGACCAACGTGAAAAAGAAGAAAAAGGTTTCTTAATCAATTTAATTGATTCTCCTGGGCACGTCGATTTCTCCTCTGAAGTCACCGCCGCTCTTCGGGTAACTGATGGAGCTCTTGTGGTTGTGGATTGCGTTTCAGGTAATTTATTAAATAATTATTAATTAATTTTTTTAAAAATACCTTCCAACACAAAACGAGTCACTTTGCAGGTCGGATTGTTCCAAATTTTTTGGTTCAATAGATCCTTGACAATGTTGACAGTGTAAATGGAAGGAGATTAATTAAAATTGTCTTGAAACGCTGTTACCATGGACCTCTATTCTTATGTTCAGTGGTAATTAGTTAAGGGACAAGTTTAACATTTAATTTAAAAAAAAATAGTTTTAAAATTATTTTGTTAATTTTTAATTGATTTTTTTTGTATCTTATTAAAGGTGTGTGTGTACAAACTGAAACTGTACTTCGTCAAGCTATCGCTGAACGTATCAAGCCTATTTTGTTCATGAACAAGATGGACCGTGCTCTTCTTGAACTCCAGTTGGATTCTGAAGAATTGTTCCAAACTTTCCAACGTATCGTTGAAAACGTCAACGTTATTATTGCTACTTATTCAGATGATAGTGGTCCTATGGGTGAAGTTCGTGTGAGTAATTATTTTTTGTAAATAATAATAACCCCACCCAAATAAGCCGACTTATTTCAAAATTATTTAATATGAATTAGGTGCGCTCGTGGTGGGAACATTAAACATTTTCTTTACATGTGTATGGTTGTTGCCTTTTTAATGGCACCAACCAAAGGATGTTTTGATACATTTTTTCTTAATACATTAACTTATTACTAATTAAATTTTGTTGTTGTTGTTTTTAGGTTGATCCAAGTAAAGGTTCCGTTGGTTTTGGATCTGGTTTACATGGTTGGGCTTTCACTTTAAAACAATTCGCTGAAATGTATGCAGAAAAATTCAAGATTGATGTAGTTAAACTAATGAACAGGCTTTGGGGAGAAAACTTTTTCAACGCGAAAACGAAGAAATGGGCTAAACAAAAGGAGGATGGAAACAAACGTTCCTTCTGCATGTACATTCTCGATCCCATCTACAAGATTTTTGATACGATCATGAATTACAAGAAGGAAGAGTATGAGGCGTTACTCCCCAAATTGGGCATTACAATCAAACATGAAGATAAAGACAAGGATGGTAAACAACTGTTGAAGGTTGTGATGAGAACTTGGTTGCCAGCTGGCGAAGCTTTACTTCAAATGATTGCCATTCATTTACCCTCGCCTGTTGTCGCCCAAAAATACAGGATGGAAATGTTGTATGAAGGCCCCCTCGACGATGAAGCCGCGATTGGTGTTAAAACGTGCGATTCCAACGGACCACTTATGATGTATGTATCAAAGATGGTACCCACTTCCGATAAAGGACGTTTCTACGCGTTTGGACGTGTTTTCTCTGGAAAAGTAGCAACCGGAATGAAGGCGCGTATCATGGGACCGAATTACACCCCAGGAAAGAAAGAAGATTTATACGAAAAAGCCATTCAAAGAACTATTTTGATGATGGGTCGTTATGTTGAAGCTATCGAAGATGTTCCCTGCGGTAATATTTGCGGTTTAGTTGGAGTTGATCAATTTTTGGTCAAAACTGGTACTATTACCACGTTTAAGGATGCCCACAACATGAAAGTTATGAAGTTTAGCGTTTCGCCTGTTGTACGTGTTGCTGTGGAACCGAAAAATCCAGCTGATTTACCAAAATTGGTAGAAGGTAAAATTTATATTATCAAATCATAGTATTTAATAATAATTTTAGATGATTTTATTTGATTTTTTTTTTTTAATTGAGAGTATTTTAACTGATTTTTACCCCACCCAAATAAGCCGACTTATTTCAAATATTTCAATATGATTTAGGTGCGCTCGTGGTGGGAACATTAAATATTTTCTTTACATGTGTATGGTTGTTGTCGTTTTAATGACACCAACCAAAGGACGTTTTGAAACATTTTTTTAATCAATTGTGGTAATTAAGTTTGATTTTATTTGGTGTATCAGTATATATCAGAAGATCTCAAACGAATTTCTTCTACCGCCCAATTTGAGAAACATTTATTTTCTAACGTCCTCTAAAATTATATCTTTAGTTAAGTTAGTCTGCTATTTATGAGTCTTGTTCAAAAGCAACTGGGTATAATTCAAAAATCATCATGTTGCTGAAAAATCGATATATTTTTTTAATAATAATAATAATTTTAAAAATTAAGAAACAAAATTAAAAAGAAGTGCGGAAAAGTGTAAAACTTACCAAAAAAACACTATATACCATGTATTTTTGCAGCTCATTTGGTTAAAACGCATATTTTCGAGTGAAATACGGTTGTCTCTTAGGTTTTCGACGCACAACAACTAAAATGTCGTTGTTTAAAAGACTAATTGCTATCAGAAGATTAAATACTGCTAGTAAAGGACTAAAAACTACTTGAAAAGAGGAAATACTATTTCAAAAAGTTACTTCCTGCTTCTAAAATGCTAGATACTGCAGAAAAAGCCCACAACTTACTTGGAAAAGACTAGATACTGTTTTCAAAATAATATCTATTGCTTCCAAAACGCTAAACACTGCTTTTAAAAGTTTTGACCTACTTGGACAGGCGGAATACTGCTTCCAAGACTACTTATTGCTTTCAAAGACTTTAATAATTGTTTGAAAAAGAGATATGCTTTCCAAAAAGCTATCTACTGCTTCCAGAATGTTAGATACTGCTGGAAAAGACTAATAACTGCTTGGAAAGAAGATATATTCTTCCCAAAAAGCTACCTAACGCTGCCAGAATGCTAAATACTACTGGAAAAGACTAATAACTACTTGGAAAAAAGAGATATGCTCTCCAAAATGCGTACCTACTGCTTCCAAAATGCTAGATACTGGTGGAAAAGATTACAATCTGCTTGAAGAAGTCTAGATAGTGCTAACAAACAACTACAAACTGATTGGAAAGACGAGATACTGCTTCCATAAGACTACTTACTGCTTTCAAAGCGCTATATATTACTAGAAAAGATTACAATCNAATATAACTTTAATTAAGTTATAGTCTGCTATTTATGAGTCTTATCTTGTTCAAAAGCAACTGGGTATAATTCAAAAATCATCATGTCGCTGAAAAATCGATATTTTTTTTTATCGACGGGAAATCACTCAAGTAAGCCGTTATAAATAAAAAAAATGTGTCAAACTTACCGAAAAGTCACTTTAAAGTTTCGACGTGACGTCATCGACCGTGCTAACCATATATTTTCGATTGAAATACGGTTGTTTCTTAGGTTTTCGACGCACAACGACTAAAATGTCGTCGTTTACTATTTATAAACTAAAGATAACCTAAAATCTATACCTGATGTCTATACCCTAACCCCCTCTTGAACTTATTGGTTCCTGAATGCTAGATACTGTTGGCAAAAGACTAATTATTGCTATCAGAAGATTAAATACTGCTAGTAAAAGACTAAAAACTGCTTGGAAAGAGGAAACTACTATTTCAAAAAGCTACCTACCGCTTCCAGAATGTTACATACTGCTGGAAAAGACTAGATACTGTTTTCAAAATAATAACTATTGCTTCCAGAACATTAAACACTGCTGTTAAAGGTTTTGACCTACTGGGACAGGCGCAATACCGCTTCCATGACCACTTATTGCTTTCAAAGACTTTAATAATTGAGGCGTTTATTTGAAAAACAACATGTCCATTTTAACCGAAAATCCACCTTATGCAGATTTACATAGTAAAGTACCATATACACGTTCCAAACATCAAATAGTGTGAAATCATCAGTTGTCCGGGTTAGAATTCCTGGCACAAATTCGGCATGTTTTGGAAAAACAACAGATGTCCACGCACTTTGTTGTAAAAACAACAGTTGGCCGAAAATATTCACGTGTTAACTTCAACGGCGCCTCAGGGCCACTTTTACCATGTTTTTGTTAAGTTTATCTAACAGTTATTTCCAGCGCTCAACCAATGAGAGCACTTAAAACCTCAGTAACCATGGCAACTATCCCTATGGTAAAATAACAGGAGGATGGTAAAAGTGGCCCTTAGTCTGTCAACTTGCTTAATAGTGATTCTGTTATTATTTATCGTGGGTGGCAAATAAGTGCTATATTACATTATTTTATTGCCAATAATACTTTTAAAATGGCAGATTTTGCTCAAGCTAGTACCTCTGGTGTTGTGGGTGATGAAATTTGTGAGATTTCCTCAACAGACAAACCACGCAAAAGATTACGAAAGGTTTACCGGCGAGAAATAATAAAACGTGCAAAAGTGAGTGGATTAGCCCACCGAACACATAAAGGTGACAAAGATGTTTACCTCGAGAAACAGCGGCTCGAGTTATACTTAACTTTTTTAACAATATGAAATCGAAAAATGAACAGGATTCAGAGTTATCCGGACTTATTACCGTAATACCTGTTCAGACACGTCGCAGCCGAAATTCTTTTACTATAGATAATAATGTAAACTTAAGTGACAGTGATGAGGCAGGCGAATATCGTGATCAACAAGGTCCACCATATACAGCATCATTTAAATATAAAATTCGACTACCTGGAGAAGAAGTGGAGGTGTGTGCTAAAGCATTTCGTAGTATTTTTGATGTTATTGAAATGTGATTCGCCGGATTAGAAACAGCCTAGCTATGACTGGATTTTCTCCAAAAGATGGTCGTGGAAAACATAGAAATAGACCAAAGAAGACAAAGCCCTCCAATGTTGAAGCAGTAATGGAGCACATTTCCTCCTTCAAAGGCCGACAAAGTCACTACACACGAAGACTGGACAAAAAGAAAATTTACCTTCCATCAGAGTTAAATGTGAAAAAGATGTACAAAGCATTTCTGGAACTGCACCCATCATCAAAAGTGTCTTACTTCTTATATTATGACATATTTCGAACTCGATTTAATATTTCATTTGTCTACCCAAGATGTGACACTTGTATGTTTTGTGATGAAACAGAAAAACTACTTAAAAAAGAAGATATTGAGGAATCCAAGAAAACTGAACTAATTCAGCAAAGACATCTCTATCAGGCTAAAGCAACAGCTTTTTACTATATAAAACGGTTAAAGCTAAATGCCAAAGTAATCCTAAAGTAACGGTTATTGCTTTCGATTTTATGCAAATCTTCCGCTACCTAATTTAACGACCAACAAAGTATTTTTATAGTAGACAACTTTGGCATTATGTGTTTGGAATACACGAAATCGGAAGCAATGATGTTAATATGTACACATAACATGAGGGAACGGCCAAACGTGGTCAAAATTAAGTCACTTCCATGATATTTCATTATAGTATTAAAGAACATTTACCAAGCCAAACTGATGAAATCTGGTTCTTTTCTAACGGCTGCCCAGGCAAAAATAAGAACTATGTGTTTATTCCCTTTTCATACATCCTTGTGCATGTACTGAAGGTGGCATCTAAAGTAATACACGTATATCCTATGAGGGGATATTTATACTTACCGTGTGATAGCGACTTTAGTCTAATTTCGACCGCAAAAAAGTAGTTCTGGACGTTCCAGAAGGATGGAATGAACTTATTGGGCAAGCAAGGTCCAAACCATCTCCATTTAATGTCGTGGATGGTGGAATAGACTCCCAATGGTTTCTAATGGATAAAAGTTTTAAAGACTTATTTTTCAAAAATCCCAAACCAAAAATTTCGCTAAAACCAGCTCGAATGTATCAAATATCTAAAGAGTATCCTGAGCAAGTGCTAATACGCCAAAATTATCATGGTCCCTGGACATGCCATACCATTGCAGGAAAAAAAAGCCTTCAGAAATAGCGCTGATACCTAACCAACGTACACTTGGAATAAATTCAAAAAAGCTCCGAGATTTGATGGAACTTACGAAATATCTTAAGAATCCTCGTAACAAGAAGTTTTATCTTAACCTACGATCAAACGCGAAAGTACAGTTACCTCGGAAGACATTCAAAGTACTGAAATTATGAGGAGTGATGATAATAGCAGTGGGGGGGAATAAAATTGGGGTCCAAAACACAAAAAAAAACAGTAATGTTGACATTGGAACAAGTGTTACTTTTCCAATATTTTGTAATTTTTGATAATTTTTTGGTTTTGTGTGCAAAATAAAATAAATTTAATTATAAAAACACCTTAATACAGTTAAAATCCTTTATAGTACAAAGGCAAGCAGTTTTTCTTGATTTTCTCAAAATTCTTTTTTTGGACATGTGTTGCTTTTCAAATAAATGCCTCAATTATTTGGAAAAGAGATATGCTTTCCAAAAAGCTACCTACCGCTACCAGAATGTTAGATACTGCTGGAAAAGACTAATAACTGCTTGGAAAGAAGAGATATGTTTCCCAAAAAGCGACCTAATTCTTCCAGAATGCTAAATACTACTGGAAAAGATTAACAACTACTTGGAAAGAAGAGATATGCTCTTGAAAAAAGGTACCTACTGCTTCCAAAAATGCTACATACTGGTGGAAAAGATTACAATCTGCTTGGAGAAGACTAGATAGTGCTAACAAACAACTACAAACTGATTGGAAAGACGAGATACTGCTTCCATAAGACTACTTACTGCTTTCAGAGCGCTATATATTACTAGAAAAGATTACGACCTGTTTGGAGAAAACTAGATAGTGCTAACAAACAACTACAAACTGATTGGAAAGACGAGATACTGCTTCCATAAGACTACTTACTGCTTTCAAAGCGCTATATATTACTAGAAAAGATTACAATCTGTTTGGAGAAGATTAAATACTTCTGGGTGAAACTATTATATGCTTGGAAAGACAAGATACTGTTTCTAAAAGACTATTAACTACTTTATGAATACTAAATATTGTAGGAAATGACGCAGCCAAATAGTTATTTCAGGTAGATAGCTTTTTCCTGGTCAAATACTGTCTGCCTAGGCAAACAGTAGTTCGTTACAGCTTTATCATTAAATGTCTTGGCAAATACTATTGGACAAGACAAATAGTATCTGTCTAAGCTTGTTTTAGGCAAATACCATTTTTTCGATACAAGAATGCAATATAATCAAATTATTTGCGTATCATTTTCAAAAAATGCATAACCGCTTCATTTACTTTTATTAAGCTTAATACAAATAGACGATTTATTTCTTGAATACTAAATACAAAAATTTACCAGTTTTGACAATTGTTGCTGGAATGGCATCTATTGTTGCACATCATCTTATTTTTGAAACAAGTACACCTTTTTGTACTGCACTGAAATTCCGAGGGCTGGCACTGGCATTTTGACACACTTTGCCCAGAAAACAGTGGCTGTGAAATGCAGGCCTCTCTTAAAGAAATAAAACATTCGTGGGGTTGGGTTGGTTTAAAGAGCTATTAGCCTGAAAATATTTTAGCCATATGCTATTTGCCTAGGAATGTAGAATTTAGACTGAAATAAATGGAATAAAACTATTTGCCTAAGCAGATAGTATCTGACTAGGAAAAAGCTATTTACCTGAAACAACCATTTGCCTGCAACAGAAAGACCACTAATTGCTTGGAGACTGTTAGATACTGTTGGCAAAGTCTATTTAATGCTTTCAGAAGACTATATACTGCTGGCAAAACACTACTAAGTGCTTGGAGATTACAATACTACAGGCTGAAGATTATTTACTGAAACTATTCTTCTGTTGAGTGATATCTTTCTATGTCCCTTCAAAGACCCATTAAAGCATTGGCTGTATCCACGCCACCCATGTATTTATTATGGCAGGACAGGTTATATCTATCTTCACTTTAGCATTTTTATGGAACCTCTTTACAGCACTTGATGAAGGCTCAATTCCATGCAGAGTACTACCTAACAGGACAGCTTTATTGTCAAACCATTTTACAATGATTAGTCCTTTTTCTTTATGAAATTTGTAATCTTTCAAAAGTTATTTCTTACTTTTTCGATAAATAGACCGATTTTGTAGTATCTATCTGAAGTATTTTCATTGATATACTCGTTATTAGTGAAGTGTATGTACGTTTTTACAGGCATCACAGAAGCTATTTGTTCTATTCTTGTACCAGAAGCCTAATAATCTTCATGATGGATATAAAATCAGTCATTTTCTTAGCGTTTGTAGCAATGCATTTACCTGTCACTTGTGTGCTGTACATGATTAGTTTGATCAGTAACATCTTTCAATATATCGAAGGAAATAAATTTTGTAAAATACCGAAATGAACATAGAATCTCGTCGTTTGTATCTGGAATAAAATGTATATCCCTATCAATTTTTGGAATATCTTTGTCAGAAAAATCTTCTAAACGACGTGTCCACATGCATAAATAGAAATCACAATTTACTTACCAAATGTATTTCAACTGCAATACAAACATAACACTTATAGAATACAAGATTTTCACAGCAAATACAAAAATCTCATACAGGTCTAAACAAGTTGTAGTATATATAACGTCATTTGCTCTCAAACCAATGGTGTGCTGTTTACCCCTACCTAAACAAGGTTGAAACCACATGGTACTGCTGCTCGATATCGTCAGATTATTATAGGACTTTAAAATTCATGCATTTGAATTTAGTATAACCATATGGTTACATTGTCCATTATATTGTATTTTATTTATTTAAAGGCCGACCGATAAAATGTTAATAAGCGTCACTTATGACAACAACAATTCTTCATTACTTGGTAAAATGGACTAATCCAACTAAATTGAGAATTGACAAGTCTTCAGATGATTTCCAGTTGGTTTTTCCATGTTTTTAGCCATATCTTCAATTCGTCTTTGTATGGAACTATAATAAAATAGTTTAGTTATGGGTGATTCATTGCTTTATTCGAAAATGTTTTGACTAATAAGGCACTTAGGCGAAGATGGATTTGTAGAATTTTCAATAAATTCGTATTTAATATATTCTATATTATGCAGCCATCTCTTCCTTTTTGCTTCTGACATGGCGGTTAAAAAAAAAACCGATTTCAAGTTATATTGATGATATTTTTGACGCGGACTAAAATGTAAAATCAATTAAAATCATCTAAAATTCTCTTAGAATAAAAGAAATCAAATATCTTGAAGTTAATTTAATTTACTCATTTTATCACTTTCTTTCTAGGATTGAAACGTTTAGCTAAATCAGATCCTATGGTACAATGTATCATTGAAGAATCAGGTGAACACATCATTGCTGGTGCTGGTGAATTGCACTTGGAAATTTGCCTTAAAGATTTAGAAGAAGATCACGCTTGTATTCCAATTAAAAAATCCGATCCTGTCGTATCATATCGTGAAACTGTCAGTGAAGAGTCAAATCAAATGTGTTTGTCTAAATCACCCAATAAACATAATAGGTAAAATATCTTAATTTATATATACTTAAACTTAGAAATTTATCTTATTTTTTAATTTAGGTTGTTTATGAAAGCTTGTCCAATGCCTGATGGTTTAGCTGAAGATATCGATAACGGCGATGTTAACCCCCGCGATGATTTCAAAGTTCGTGCTCGTTATTTGAGCGAGAAATACGATTACGATGTCACTGAAGCCCGTAAAATTTGGTGTTTCGGTCCCGATGGAACCGGACCGAATATACTCGTCGATTGTACCAAGGGAGTACAATATTTGAATGAAATCAAGGATTCAGTGGTTGCCGGTTTTCAATGGGCTGCTAAAGAAGGTGTTTTATCCGAAGAGAATTTGCGCGGAGTCCGTTTCAATATTTATGATGTCACTTTACACGCTGATGCAATCCATCGTGGTGGCGGACAAATCATCCCAACTACGCGTCGTTGTTTGTACGCTTGTTTGTTAACTGCGGCTCCAAGACTTATGGAACCCGTGTATCAATGTGAAATTCAGGTAAAAATAATTTGTTAAATCGATTTTCTCTTAGGTTTTCGACGCACAACAACTAAAATGTCGTTGTTTAAAAGACTAATCTGCTTGGAGAAGACTAGATAGTGCTAACAAACAACTACAAACTGATTGGAAAGACGAGATACTGCTTCCATAAGACTACTTACTGCTTTCAGAGCGCTATATATTACTAGAAAAGATTACGACCTGTTTGGAGAAAACTAAATACTGCTGGGAGAAACTATTATCTGCTTGGAAAGACAAGATACTGTTTCCAAAAGACTATTAACTACTTTCAAAATGCTAAATATTATTGGAAAGACTACTAATTGCTTGGAGAAAATTAGATATTGTTGGCAAAGACTATGTAATGCTTTCAGAAGACTATATACTGCTGCCAAAACACTACTAAGTGCTTGGAGATTACAATACTACTGGCTAAAGACTATTTACTGAAACTATTCTTCTGTTGAGTGATATCTTTCTGTGTCCCTTCAAAGACTCATCAAAGCATTGGCTGTATCCATACCACCCATGTATTTATTGTATTCCTTTACTATGGCAGGACAGGTTATATCTATCTTTGCTTTAGCACTTTTATGGAACCTCTTTACAGCGCTTTAAGGCTCAAAACCATGCAGAGAACTACCTAACAGGACAGCTTTATTGTCAAACCATTTTACAATGAATAGTCCTTTTTCTTTATCAACTTTATAATCCAAATGACAACCCCTCTTCCTTGCCTTTTTAAAACTTTATCTGTTTCAATGGGACAACCGGCAATTTTATTACTTCGCAACTTTCCAAGACTATGTATATTACATTTTTCTTTGAGATAGAGAAAACTCGGTAGACCAGCAAAATAGTTATCAAAAAATAGCGTTGCATTGTCAGGATCATAGAAAGATTTCGACAAAGCTATTACAACTCCTGCTCAAACATCCATATCACTTTCTTCTTGCGTGAGTGCATTGATACTTCCATGAAGTTGTTTGAATCTGTTGAGTGCCCTTGTATGCAACTATTGTTTCATCCACAGAGTATTGATTCTCAGTGTGAAATTTTCGAATGTTATTTCTTACTTTTTCGATAAATGGACGGATTTTGTAGTATCTATCTGAAGTATTTTCATTGATATACTCGTTATTATTGAAGTGTATGTAACGCCTCAGAAGTTTGAACCATTTTTATAGGCATTAGCGGGGCTATTTGTTCTATCCTTGTACGAAAAGCTCAATAATCTTCATAGTTAAAAATCAGTCATTTCCTTAGCATTTGTAGTAATACATTTACCTGTCACTTGAGTACTGTACAGATTAGTTTGATCAGTAACATAATTCAATATATCGAGTATTTTTATATTGAGTATTATAAAATACTCAAGTGAACATAGAATCTCTTCGTTTGTATCTGAAATAAAATGTATATCCCTATCAATTTTCGGAATATCTTCCTTGGTCCAGTTGAAATGTATGTCGGATTTTTTTTATACTACCTTAGAATCATATTCAATAGCAGGCGGAGGAAGTTAATATTTCGTTTTTCCATAAAACGAACTAAGTAGATGGGATGGTATCATATTTATCCATTATATAAAAAAATAGATCCAAATTCAAAAACCCTATAATATGGGCAATGTAACCAAATGGTTATACAAAGTTTGCCAGCAAAAATCTTCTAAACAACGTGTCTATATGCATAAATAGAAATCACAATTTACTTATAGAATACAAGATTTTCACAGCAAATACTATAATATCGTACATGTCTAAACAAGTTGCAGTATATATAACGTCATTTGCTCTCAAACTAATGGTGTGCTGTTTACTCCTACCTAAATAAGGTTGAAACCAAAAACCACATGGTACTGTTGCCCAATATCGTCAGATTATTATAGGACTTTAAAATTCATGCATTTGAATTTAGTGTAACCATATGGTTACTATGTCTATTATATTGTATGTTATTTATTTAAAGGGTTAATTTTTTGTTTTTTGGGCATATTTTAATAACTAAAACGGCTAGATCCAAAAACTTAGTTGAAAAATGATAAGCTCTAAAATACGCAACATTCCCCCCATTTAACCATTTCTGTATCTCTTATGGTTTCTGATATCCCAATGGTGGGGGTCGAATTTGAATTACCCTATATACTTCTTTTCCAGGTCTTGAAAATAGTCCACATTTTTATCTTACTAAGCAGCCTTACCTTGATATCCTAGCAGGATTCATTGCTTTATTCGAAAATGTTTTGACTAATAAGGCACTTAGGCGAAGATGGATTTGTAGAATTTTCAATAAATTCGTATTTAATATATTCTATATTATGCAGCCATCTCTTCCTTTTTGCTTCTGACATGGCGGTTAAAAAAAAAACCGATTTCAAGTTATATTGATGATATTTTTGACGCGGACTAAAATGTAAAATCAATTAAAGTCGTCTAAGATTCTCTTAGAATAAAAGAAATCGAATATCTTGACGTTAATTTAATTTACTCATTTTATTACTTTCTTTCTAGGATTGAAACGTTTAGCTAAATCAGATCCTATGGTACAATGTATCATTGAAGAATCAGGTGAACACATCATTGCTGGTGCTGGTGAATTGCACTTGGAAATTTGCCTTAAAGATTTAGAAGAAGATCACGCTTGTATTCCAATTAAAAAATCCGATCCTGTCGTATCATATCGTGAAACTGTCAGTGAAGAGTCAAATCAAATGTGTTTGTCTAAATCACCCAATAAACATAATAGGTAAAATATCTTAATTTATATATACTTAAACTTAGAAATTTATCTTATTTTTTAATTTAGGTTGTTTATGAAAGCTTGTCCAATGCCTGATGGTTTAGCTGAAGATATCGATAACGGCGATGTTAACCCCCGCGATGATTTCAAAGTTCGTGCTCGTTATTTGAGCGAGAAATACGATTACGATGTCACTGAAGCCCGTAAAATTTGGTGTTTCGGTCCCGATGGAACCGGACCGAATATACTCGTCGATTGTACCAAGGGAGTACAATATTTGAATGAAATCAAGGATTCAGTGGTCGCCGGTTTTCAATGGGCTGCTAAAGAAGGTGTTTTATCCGAAGAGAATTTGCGCGGAGTCCGTTTCAATATTTATGATGTCACTTTACACGCTGATGCAATCCATCGTGGTGGCGGACAAATCATCCCAACTACGCGTCGTTGTTTATACGCTTGTTTGTTAACTGCGGCTCCAAGACTTATGGAACCCGTGTATCAATGTGAAATTCAGGTAAAAATAATTTGTTAAATCGATTTTAAATGCGAACTTGTAATTAATTTATAAAAAAAATTAATTTTATAAAGTTTACTAAGGTTCGAAGAATAATTTGTTATTCCACTGATTGCCCTGTAACGAATTTTTTCAATGTTTGTTACAGTTTCCCAATGTGGAACATTATTATTATGAATTTATTTAATTAAAATTCATGTTTAAAACAAACTTATTTTTATAGTGTCCAGAAGTAGCTGTTGGTGGTATTTATGGTGTGTTAAATAGAAGAAGAGGTCACGTTTTTGAAGAACAACAAGTAGCTGGAACACCAATGTTCGTCGTAAAAGCATATCTACCAGTAAACGAATCGTTTGGTTTCACCGCCGATCTTCGTTCAAATACGGGAGGTCAAGCTTTCCCTCAATGCGTATTTGATCACTGGCAAATTCTTCCTGGTGATCCGTTGGAGACCAGCACCAGACCCTTCACTGTCGTTCAGGTAAGATAACACCACAAAAACTAAATGACTTTAAATTAACGAAATTTCGTTGTTAATTTTAGGAAACGCGTAAACGTAAAGGATTAAAGGAAGGTCTACCAGACCTTACTCAATATTTGGACAAATTATAAACAAGGGAGTGTTTAGGATCTGTACAAATTATTCAAAAAGAAACAAAAATAAAAAAAAGCCAACACTATTATTTACTTTGACTGATCTATTTACATTTCCTTTTTTTCTATAGTTGAATCCAATCGCTAAAAAATAAATAAATGATTGATAATTTTTGTCTGGATAATAAATGGATGAGATCACATTACTATTAAATTCATTCTTTATTTTGCTACTTACAATTTCTGTCTTAGCGGTCGGCCACTGATGGTGTATAACCTGGAAAATGCCAATAAACGAAATAAATTGGAAATATTATTTTCTTACTACCCATAATGTTTCTTTAATTATTTTCAATAAAAAAGAGACATTTTATTTTTTTTATATTGGTTAATAATAGTAATTTGTACAGTAAAGAATTTTTCAAAATGACACCCGGGTCAAAATAATGGTGTAATTTATTATTTATATAATTATTAAATTTGTATCGCGCGGTTTTAAGATAACCCGCGGAAGGCGATAATTATTGTTGTATATTAAAGTGCATAAACTCCGGTTAATTAGTTACTTTCAATTATCAGGTTTTTGCATAATGTTATTTTGTTTTTTTTTTTTTATGCATTTTAAATAAAATTTCCCATTTATAATTTTTTTATGTTCTTTGTTTATAACTTACCTATAAAAAGTTGCACAACTTAATTTGAGAAAGTGATCTTCAAGGCGTTTTAGGTAAGTAAATTTTTTTTTCTACTTTTAATATCGACTCACTAGCAGACCATAAAACTTGATCATTTGTGTTTTGGTGGTTTACTGTGACTCGAAGAGAATAACCACAAAATTTCGTTCGTGATAATTTTTAAATGTTTATTATGGTGAAATTTTGTGGAACATTTTATTAACTTCATTTCCTGTTATTGCGGTGCTCTACAAACAATGTAAGTTACATTTGTAGTATTACTAGTTATTTGTATTTTTTAATCCTTTAACGCATTTATTTAAATGATGATTGTTTTATACCGCCCCAGGCTGAATATTAACGTGTTTGATTGGTTTTTTTTCCTGAAACTTCAATTTAATTCTTTAGTTTTTTATTTGAAATTAATTTCATTACAATTTATTTTTTTTTATTGCAGGCGAAACATTTAGAAATCTTCTAGTGTATGAAAAATCTTTAAAACTCAATGTAAGTAAATTTATGCAATGTATATTTAATAGTGATAGTACTTCCCCCATTTTATTGAATAATTTTTTACATCAAAATTGTTGGATTTTCTTCATTACCCAATAGAACATAGGGATAATAATCACATCCCTTTTGTATTACATGTAATATATTGGCAGGATAACAGCTTTTAGCTCAGATGCGCTTTCCCTATTTATTCTACTGATGTTTATATACTTTACCATTGATACATCAAGAGTATCATTTTTGAACATGGATTTTGATTAAATTTTGTCTTTGTATTCATCTCTTTATTTAGTGGCTCTTATTGAGAATGTTGGTGTAATATCTTTAACTACCTTGGAAGTTAATGTTTAACCTAGTGATATTTTAATGGCTAATGAAACGTCATCTTTTCTACAATGCTTCCTGTTCATTTTTCAACTTTTAAACTGGGGCAAATATATTCATTGTTTGGCATGAAGGAAATACGAGACTCAACATCTCGAATTGATGAAGTCTGCATACCATCCCACCCTACAATGCTGTAGATTTTTATGCAGAGTAACGTCTTCTCTTGTGACGTTGATTATGTGGTCTCTGGATTTATTTATGTGGTTATACAAACATCGATAGAATTTTTGAAGTGGAAAGATCTCTCAATTCAATTGACTTATTGTGCTAATAAGTCAGAAACCTAAGTTTAGGTGGTCCTCCTTTGTTATTAAATGTGTTATCACTACAATGCTTTGCATATTATACATGTGCCTATTATGTATGGAATATAGTATATATCTTGGTGGGTATCAACTTTATAAAAAAAACATTTTATACAAGTTGTTTAATATTTTATTTGCTATAATAAGACAGCATTCAATTGTTTTTATTTCAGAAAACAAATGAGGAACGAATAACACTTGAAGTTTTTTTAAATGGCAATGTACCCTTTCGTTAGGCTCATTTGATAGATATTTCTTTTCTCTTTACGATGACGTAAAATTTTTGAAAAAATGTAAAAATTAATTATTAAGAAAATTTAACTTAAATAACAGTAATCTAGATATCCGAGATCGTCAAATACCTCGAATTATTGGAGATGTACACTAATTTTTCGTTTATTTGTTTTATTTTGTACGTAAATTTAATTTACGGTAATAATTTGAGATCCCGGGTATATAGGTAGATTAATGTTATTAATTTATTTTTATTAATAAACAATTTTCGCATTTTTTTCAATAATTTTACGCCATCGTAAAGAGAAAAGTAATCTCTATCAAATGAGCCTAACGAAAAAATACATTGCCATTTAAAAAAAATGCAAGTATTATTCGTTACTCATTTGTTTTCTGAATTAAAAACAATTGAATGCAGTCTTATTATGTTATTATTTATATAGCCATATTGATTTTTTTTTTACATACGTTGCTGGTTGGGTCTTTTGGAAGACATCGCCTTTGGCGATAAACTGACCTTTTGTCAACATGCATTACTTATTCATTTATGTATATATATATATATTATTTTTCTCTTGTATTAACTATGTGGCAATAAACTTATTATTATTATGGCAAATAAAATATTAAACAACTTATGTATAAAATGTTTTTATAAAGTTGATACTTACCAAGATATATGCTATATTCCATACATAATGGGCATCCTGTATATAACCATGATCTTTTTATATGTTGTTTTTTATGATGTCATTGCTAATCTGTTCACTGATGCTGTACAGCGTCTCTTATCAATATTCTGTTGACGTTTCTATCTAATTATTGTGGTTTGTTCACAGATCCAACACCATTCAAATAAAATCACAAAAAAGTCTAGTCGATGTTAATTTTCAATCTGATGGTGTGCCATTTTAATCAAAAATTACAGTTCTATCTCTGGCACCTCTTCACATACGTTCAATCTATCATGCTGCCTTTAAACTTTATCACATTTTATGTACAGGGTGTCCAAATTTCGATGGGTTTGCAGGGTATCTCAGTTATTATGAAAGATAGAAAGTTGCGGCTTTCGCGAACCTGAGTTACTTTTTTGTGAAACTTACAATGGCGCAAACCAAATTTTCAAAGCCCTCTTCGTTTTTGATATACAGGGAGTGTTTGAAATTTACGATTTTCAGACACCTCCTGTATCTCGGCTATCCGGAAACTTAGTAAAAAAGTAAAAACGGGTTCTAATAGATTTTTTCACGTGGAATCCAATGGTGCACGTAGAATTTTTCTAGTCATCACGGTTTTTGAGTTATAAACACAACTCAAATACTGAATACTCAACTTCTAAAATACTTAACTCTTTATAACTCAAAAACCGTGATGACTAGAAAAATTCTACGTGCACCATTGGATTCCACGTGAAAAAATCTATTAGAACCCGTTTTTACTTTTTTACTAAGTTTCCGGATAGCCGAGATACAGGAGGTGTCTGAAAATCGTAAATTTCAAACACTCCCTGTATATCAAAAACGAAGAGGGTTATGAAAATTTGGTTTGCCCCATTGTAAGTTTCACAAAAAAGTAGCTCAGGTTCGCGAAAGCCGCAACTTTCTAATCTTTCATAATAACTGAGATACCCTGCAAACCCATCGAAATTTGGACACCCTGTACTTACGCTTACTGCCAAACATAACTGACCTACAATTACATGTTAGGTAACTAATAATTAACACGTGTTAAAATAAGAAGATTAAGAATTTGTGACAGTTTGTTGCAGTCATGTGGTTTGAAGTCACTAAAAAAGAGAAATCTTAATACATCTGTATCTTTTGTGTATGCTCATTTGCCTGGTTGGATATTTCTTCCAGAGATATTGTATCATACTGTACTCAACTTTATCCATTTCTCCACAAAGCTAAAACACACCTATCTTAACATCCGTTTTCTGCCAGTAGCTCCTGATGACATCATCGACCGTTTGCTCTTAGATTGAATATAAAATTGACTTTGCTAATATCTTGATCACTCATGTTGCGATGTCCGAAATCATTTTTTTATACAACCTTTTAAAATTGTTGTTAGAACTCGACCACCTGGTTGGTCGAGTTCGAATAGAATAGAACTGAGTTAAATTCGTAATAACCTTTACTTTTATCGCTAACACAGCACTATTTATTACTTTGAGCGTCTACTTGAACTCCACATAATTAAACTTTCATCACTGGATAAATTCCTCTCTTAATCTCCTCTTTATCATTAAATATCTTCTTATATGTAGCGAACGGTTTTTTTGAAATTACCGCTGTTTATTGCTAATAGCTCAAAAAGATTCTAAACCAGAAAGAATGCTGGCTAAAGGTACCAATACAATAAGATTTATACAACAAGTTTTTTTTTATATACGATTTAATTTAATATGATGATTATTTATACCGCCCCAGGCTGAACAATACCGTGTTTGATTGGTTTTTATACTGAATATCCATTTTAACTTACTTTTTATTTTATATTTGTTTATCTTTTTATTTCATCATTATTTCTTTTTATTACAGGCTACACGTCAGAATTCCTCTATCGAGATATGTCGAAACATATACTATAAACCATCGTGAGTATTTTTTTTATAAATTAATTTAAATTAATTTATCGTGATGATTATTTATACCGCCCCAGGCTGAATAATATCGTGTTTGATTGGTTTTGATACTGAATATTCACTTTAAATATTTTTTTATTTTATATTTGCTTACCGCTTTATTTCATCATTTATTTTGCATTGTTACAGAGGTTATACATCAGGGTTAATCGATCCAATAATTAGGGACCCATATAAATTAATGTAAGTATTTATTTTAATTAATTTTTTTATGAACATCTTTATAATTTATCATGATGATTATTTATACCGCCCCAGGCTGAATAATATCGTGTTTGATTGGTTTTGATACTGAATATCCACTTTAAATATTTTTTTATTTTGTTTTTGCTTACCGCTTTATTTCATCATTTATTTTGCTTTGTTACAGAGGTTATACATCAGCGTTAATCAATCCAATAATTTTATTAGTCACCCATATAAATTAATGTAAGTATTTATTTTAATTAATTTTTTTATAAACATCTTTATAATTTATCGTCATGATTATTTATACCGCCCCAGGCTGAACAATACCGTGTTTGATTGGTTTTTACACTGAATTCCGCTTCAAAATATTTTTTATTTAAAATTTATTCAATATGTGTTNAGTATTTATTTTAATTAATTTTTTTATAAACATCTTTATAATTTATCATGATGATTATTTATACCGCCCCAGGCTGAACAATACCGTGTTTGATTGGTTTTTACACTGAATTCCGCTTCAAAATATTTTTTATTTAAAATTTATTCAATATATTTTTTATAATTTATTTTTATTTATTACAGGTATTGTATTTAAGGATTCTGTAAACCAGATTTAATCCAGAAAATAATAATGTGAGTATATTTACTCTTTTTTTTTAAATTTTATAATATTAATTACATCCACAATAAGACAGTGGTAGGTTGTTTTATTAATACAGCTATCATTCGCATTTTGTGGGAGATAATAAGATTTTTAAGTTTCTGTTTTGGAGTTTTTACATAATCCTTAACATGAATAGGGAATCTTACACTTACAACAAAAAATATAAACAATATACTATAAATATAAAGAGTAAAATTGTTAATTAATATAACTCTTCATTTCTTTTTAGAATTTTTCTTCTTGGATTTGATTTCTAATCGCCTAACCAACTTCACGGTAAGAATTAATTTATTAAAATTATAATATGATAAATTTTATTAAAGATTATGATGATTGTTCTTCACAGACCTGTACTGAAATACTTACATGTCGATTTAAAGAACGGCCAGCTGATACTTTAAATTATTAAAAATTATTTTATTATTAAAAGTAATTTGGATTTTTTTTTAATTATTTCAAATTTGTTTTGCAGAATTTATCGTTTGCAACATAAGTTAATCACAAGATCAGCAATTTCATGACTACTTTTCATTTTTATATAAGGTAAGAATAAAATCTCTTAATTTTTAACATCATTTTTGTAATAATTAAAGTCAATGATGATTGTTCTTCACAGACCTGTACTGAAATATATTACATGTCGATTTAAAGAACGGCCAACTGATACTTTAAATTATTAACAATTATCTTATTATTAAAAACAATTTGGAATCTTTTTTAATTAATTCAAATTTGTTTTTCAGAATTTATCGTTTGCATCATAACAAGATCGGCGATTTCATGAGTACTTTTCATTTTCATATGAGGTAAGAATTAAATCTTAAATCATTTTTGTAATAATTAAAGTCAATGATGATTGTTCTTCACAGACCTGTACTGAAATATAATACATGTCGACATAAAGAACGGCCAGCTGATGTTTGAATTTAATCATTTCAATATTTCAAATATAAATTTTAGTTTATATATTAATTACTATTATTTTTTGTAGATGTTCCTAACAGAATTAAATTCCAAATGCTTCATAAACCCATTTTCTGGTATGTATTAATTAATTTCTTGTTTTAATTAAGTCTACATTCTTTTGAAGTAAATGATGACCAAATTATTATACTTGAAAATCTCTGAGAGTATTATATAAGCTCAACAGGACTGAAAATTTAGTATCAAAAAAATGTTACGTTTTCTAAATTAAAAGAAAATATCTAAAGATATTTTTCTTTGGTTTCAGGTAAAGGAGACGATTATTTTGGATGAGAAGTACTGCAGGTGGTAAGACATTTTTGATCTATTATTATATTTTTTTTGAAGCAATAAATTTATTTTAAGAAATGATTTTTTTCTTTACTCCTGAACTAAATTATTAGTGCAAAAACAAAATCAATGAGCGCTATTTTGGTCTTTTCTAACTTATCCTATATGAAACTCCTTCCCTTCAACTGTAACTGTAAGCTTGAATGTAATCATGCGACAAGTATGTAACACGTACGTTTTTAATGGACGTTTAGGCTAAAATATCTAAAAGGAGCCGAGTCTAAGAAGGCCCTCAAAACATAATTGTTTTGTTGGTTTATAGTGACTCGAAGAGAACAAGTATTCATAAAAATCAACCGTATTATGTAACGATTAGTTATTTTTTACGATATTATTTATGGAACATACAAAAAATATTTAAAAAATAGGATAATTTGGTGAATTATATATATGTACAAACTTCTTAAAGATGCACTTTTAGTTCACAAATTGTGAGTTTAATATAGTTAAATTTCAATGAATACAATTTTTATTAAAATCTTTCTTATTTAACTTAACATCAAATCGATATTATTTTGTTTTCTTTTTTTAAAAAAGTTAATGATTTTTACGTGGTACACTTAAATATGAGATCATTGCTGGAACATTGGACGCATTGATAAATTACTTATCATAATCATTGCTATTGATAGTTATGAAATATAATGGTGGCTTAAATAATGATTTAGGATTTCCTATCCACCTTTTAATTTGCTATAAGCTGCTGTCCTTACTACTCGGGATGAAAAATTTATCTTGAATAATCTGGAATATTAAACAGATGTTAAACTCTAAAAATACTTGTGGGAAATTGAAACCAACTTGTAAACATGCGCGTTTGTTGGAAGAGTTGATTGATCCTGAAGAAGTCAACAAATTTTTAATCAAATCCATTAAATTCCAAAGTTCTTCCTAATCAAAATTTATTAAATTATCGTAGTAATAAAATACATAAAGAGGAGTTTAGACATGCATGGATTTAGTGGCGCAAATAAAAACTGGCGCGCCAGTAGAATTAAATTGCATGTGTAAACATCAACTGGCATGCAAGTTGAAATCATGCATGCATGAATCAGAAAAGTCTGCACCCTTCTGAAATCACTGGCGCCAGTGATGGGTCTAAAAACATGTAACCATGACAACATAGATGAGTATCCACAAAAACAACAACATTTTTTAATGTCATATTTAAGTTATGTTATGACACGATCTTTCGTCTGTATTTCTTTTATCAGTGGTCCCAAAATCTAGAGCCGTTTGTGTTCATTTGAGTCATAATATTTTAACTATCAGACGATAAGGCATTATTATTATAAGGTCTCAGGAAACACTATAGCTATGTTTATGAGGAAAAGCCAACAATCTTAATCCTCTTGTACAAGGTTAATCCGCAATGGGTATTGGCGATTTTTGGAACGCCACTGTTTGAATAGGAATAGAGGGGCGAGTCACCAGCTTAAAAAATTTCCTACGAAATGCGGTTTAGTAGCCATAAGCCTGTGGCTACCGATCGGAATCTGCATTTACATTTCTCTATTGAAATACAACGACAGTTTCGGCACGAGTATAATATTCTTAGGCATGGTGGATTCATTCCCGCAACATATGTCGTTGTGGATTGCAAGGTTTCGTGATCACAAAAGTGTACAAAATGAATATTGTCGGTTCTGTAAAAATTGAACAGTACACAAAACAGTTTGGGTCTAATTTTACACTTACAATTTCATCTCTACAAAATTTAAATTGTTCAGAAAATTTTACTGCAAATTTAGCAATACAAACACAATTTTGCAGAATGTTTCTTGACGTTCTCAACCTAAATGTTTTAAATAATTAATAATGTAATCAAGTACACTTAATTTATCCAGTCCTGATATAGTTTTTTAATGGTTTTCGTAAATAGACCTCAAACAAAAAAAAATTATAGTCTTACTCGTTTTATTGCTAATAATACTCTAAAAACCGTCCGATACTTTTAATTATTGTTGTGTTATGCTTGTTACATATTTTTCGTATGAAAGTGGTCTTAGAGTTTAGGTTGCTCAAAACTCCTGTTTACGTTTCACTTATGGCTTTTGACGCAAAGATCCCATAAGCATAAAAACCCATTGTCTAAACATGGAACAGAACTTCCTTCCACATTAACTCTGTATTTTCTAGTTATTATTTATAGTCCATTATCTTGTGTGGAAGTGAACAAAACAAGATTGATGCAAATTGCAAGGACTTAAATAACCAACGAAGTGAATTTGGGAGTGAAAAATTTAATTCAATACAAAAAGAAATTGAAGACTTAAAGAAAAAGAAAAATAACGTAGTTATGATTGATTCTATCGGAACTTCCTCACATTTGAAACCTGAGTTTTGGCCGAAATTCAACGAGAATAACAATAAAATACATCCTATGACCTATTTACAAAATCTTACCAGGCTTATACAAGAATATCCGGACCATCAAAATATCATAAATATCATCCGAATCACTTTAAACGACCAAGCTTTGGAATGGTATGAACGCATATGCGATAAATACTCTACATTCGACGATTTTAGCAAGGAATTCGTATCACAATACTGGAACAAAAGTAAGCAAGATCAATCCAGGATAGAGCTACTTACGGGAAGATACAACGAGCAAATAGGAACCCGAGAAACATATGCATGTAGGCAGTATAACAAATGTAAGTATATAGAAGGACTTGAGGAAGAAGATATAGCCAAATATCTCTTGAGTCACTTCCCATACTCCGACCATAATTCCGTAGTATGTCAACAAGTAAAGAGTATGGACGAATTAATAGAGATTTTAAGAAGGCTAGATACGTTCCATAATCTATACCAAAAAAATAACTGCCCTAAAAATTTACAACTACACTATCTAAATAATTATCAGAATACCAGACCCCAGAACTTTTCCCAAAATAATAATGCTAATACAAATTATCCTCCCCGTAATAATAATAATAACAATAATTATAATCGTAACAATTATAATGGGAATAATTATAAACCGTATCCTCCGAATAATTATAACTACAACTCGTTCACCGTATCAAAATAATCCTCGACCAACATATGCACCCCGATGGCATAATAATTTCAACAATGTTCAACCCCCATTTCATTCGACAAATGATGCTGGACAAGTTAATATGATAACACAACAAAGTTCCCATGACTGGAATGAAACGGGAAGAGATAGATCACTTTCTCCGAACAGATTTACTGTAACTGCAGATGTGCATCAATCACAGGAAGACACCCTGTACGATCAAAAAAAAAAAAACTTCAACGGAATAAACGAACTTATGACAAAAACCGATTGGACAAACTACCGACTACGACAAATCACCATAAATTACTTCAACACC